TCTAGTGGAAGGAAGGTGAATGATGAGTGAGGAGTTTGGCGTGTCAGCTGAGTGTGAGATGGAGTAGATGGTGTTAGGAAGAGATGAAAGGTAGTGTGTAGTCGTGGAGCCAGTTTGAGAAGACTGTAGAGAAGATAGTGAAATGGTGAGGTGTTAGTTAAGCCCCATGTTTCCACTAGGAACTCAAAGGACAAATGATAATAATAATAAATACTAGTAACTAGGCCAAAGTCAAAGTGGTCAAAGTGGTACAAGTGAGTGGGATAGAACTCCAGTGCTTCATCATTGTCTTATCTAACAATCACTGAAATGCATAATCTAACTTACAACAATGATAGTTTCAGCAGTGGGTCATACACTACTGAGGAGAATTAGTAGCCTTAAACGAATAATATCAGTTAGTAGTGTACAGGTTTCATATAAACGTCAGTCAACTGACCGACAACATATAAACCACACCAACTGTATAGTTGTTATGATTCAGTGTTACATACTAGGGTTTACTATTTCAACCAACTGGTATCCAGAAATTTGTAATCAATAACTCGAGACTGTGTAGAGATCTTCTTTGGTTTGTTGTATCTCCACTGGTGTCTTAATTCTCGCTTGTTTTCATATCCTTATGACGTTTTTTTTGGATTGTAGCAGTTAAGACAGCTTTTTAGAGCGATTCACTGTTTCACTATGTTTTAAGCCATTGTAAATATCTACCTACAGCATAACTATACATAATGAAGACAGTACTAATAAAAGAGATGAACAGCCGCCACAACTAGAAGGTAGAATGCGCCTAACAGTATGGATATGTCCCTTATCTCTTGTCACACAAAATCATCATATCCATTGTCTAATCTACAAAATATACTATTGCTCACATTTGAGAAGTCCAGTGAAATGACCTTCCTAGTGTTTCGTTTCATATAAAAGGGATTAGTATAGCTTGGCATGATTTTTAGAGGCCTGTCAGCCATGTAAATGAATATGATATTTAATTTTGAGGTTTGTGGGGGATATACTGATTTCAGGTTAGTATTCATCATCATCATCATCATCATGGAGAAATATCAGGAACCAGGGAGCACTGGATATCTGTGACTCCTCAGTAGTGAGTACCCATTAAAATCCTCACCAACCTCAAAATACATAAGAAAAATAATTTCGATGTTGAGTGGTATTAAGACAATAGAATGGTGAATAATTTCGGAGTGTTTTAATTATTGCTAACAAAGATAGATGGATAAAAAGACTGAGATTTGTTGAAACTTTTATTAAACTACACTGTTCATTCTTTTAATTAACAAAGTCTACATGCTGTGATTTCAAAATAACAATGTCATCATGGATTGATACCATTTAGGGAATGACTTAGAGTTTTGGGGCACTGAACAGATATTTTGTCCTAGGAGTTGTGTTTTCAGCAATACGCACCCATGATTCGTTTAAGGATAGAACTGAAGATATACAAATCTTGTGGTGAACACTTAAAACATACAACTACTAGCTCCCAATCTATTCAGTTCATATTCTATTACTTTTACCAGTTAGTAGTACAACACTACTATACACCAAGTTCATTAGCTGGCATCCGTTTCATGTCCGACCTAGTTTGTCCCACTAGTTGCAACTTCTCATTAGAACTTTGGGATATCTATGTCGAAGCATATCACTAACTAAACACTAGACAGTAATTAAAACTGACAAAAGTAATGGGAATTGTGAGCTACTTAACCCTAACCTATTGTCTGAATGATTAACGGGTTCACCCGCAAAACCAGGAGGTCCTTATTTTGATCTCTGGAGAGGTTGTGGGTGCCTACTCATTCTCCAACTAATACCACTCAGTAATAAGTACCACACTGAAATACCAAGTTTTTTTCAGATAGACCTTAGTAACCATAAGAAATATTTTACAGCAAAATACCTTCACTTAAAGTTGATCTTTTTTCAATCCACTCCTACATAATGACATAACCAACATGCACAAGAACTATCAACCCATATGTATGTGTAAATCTCAAACTGTAACTCATACATTCATCACATATAACACGCTACAAGTGTACAACATCTCTGATCAGCAATTTGACAACATAGAATCATCTATCTAGAAAAAAAACTCAAATCAAAGGACCTCATATAAGTCTAGATATTGTAAATTTCGGTTTACTAAAACTATGATGAAATCTATTGGTATAAAATAGTAAAACATCAGTTAAAACAAATTTGTTTGATTTTACATTGTCATCGGAAAATACAAATACCAAAGCAATGAATATCATTCGCCCAATGCTCAAGTGAACATAGAGAGGACAGAAGTGATGATGATACCCAACCAACACAATCAACACAACCGACACCAACACCACCACCAACAACAACAAGCTACAATCACCATCAATGGGAGAAACTTAAAGGAAGTAGCCTCCTTCACCTACCTAAACAACGCAGCACCGTCTCAACTACAGGTGGCGGTACAGATGAGGACGTCAAGGCAGCCAGCATCGGAAAAGCAAGACAGGCCTTCATTAACTTGAAATCAGTGTGGAGATCTTCTGCACTGCACTCAGCACAGAGCGTGAACAACATCCGGATTTTCAACACTAAATCAGTCAAGTCAGTTCTTCTGTATGCTTCAGAGACTTGACGTGTTACAAGAGTCATTTCCAACAAGGTGCAGACATTCATCACATCAATAGCTGCTGCCTACACTGTCTCGTTACTGAATCTGAGATGGAATGCGAGAAAGAATAAGCAACAAGGAACTCTGGCTGGCTGGCTGGCTGGCTGGCTGGCTGGCTGGCTGGCTGGCTGGCTGGCTGGCTGGCTGGCTGGCTGGCTGGCTGGCTGGCTGGCTGGCTGGCTGGCTGGCTGGCTGGCTGGCTGGCTGGCTGGCTGGCTGGCTGGCTGGCTGGCTGGCTGGCTGGCTGGCTGGCTGGCTGGCTGGCTGGCTGGCTGGCTGGCTGGCTGGCTGGCTGGCTGGCTGGCTGGCTGGCTGGCTGGCTGGCTGGCTGGCTGGCTGGCTGGCTGGCTGGCTGGCTGGCTGGCTGGCTGGCTGGCTGGCTGGCTGGCTGGCTGGCTGGCTGGCTGGCTGGCAACGAACCGATGAATCAAGAACCTATCGCTGAACAAAAATGCAGAAGGAAGTGGAGATGGATTGGATTTGGCGTGCACTGAGAGGTTCGACTGGGGACATCACGCGCCAGACCAGACCCTTGAGTGGAACCCAGATGGGAAGCGACGAGTTGGGCGTCCCAGCTGAGAATGACATGGAGGAGATCATGCGAGGAGGAAATGAGAGCTTCTGGGCTGTCGTGGAGCCAGGTTCAAAAGATTTCAGAAAACAGAGCTCATTTGAGAAGTGCTACTGAATCCCTATATTCCACTAGGAACCCAAGGGACAAATAATAATAATCTAGATTGTTCGGAAGGTCTATGGGTAAAAGCCTCATCCCGAATTATTTGAATTTCATTTTTTTTTAAACAATTAACTGAGTAAAAATAACAACTTTTGCTGTCAATGGGGGTACAATCATAGAAATGCTTACCAGAATAATTGAATATAAAGGGTTTAATGAAAATAGTCACTAAATGAATACAAGAATATTTTTCAATATAACAATCTAAACAAAAGTTGATCCATTCCATTCCAAAGACTCAACACTATAAGTCTTACTCAGTCTCCTTGTAAACATCTAACTACATGACATTTTGATTGATTATGCAGGTACAGAAATTATATATGAATATACTTGTCGTAAGATGATGACTGTAAATGAAATGAAAACTTGGGTGGCGGTAGAATTCAAATCAGCAAACATATGGTACCGATCTAGCTGTCTAGCCACTGAGCTAAGAGACCCAACTCCTGATAAAGTCTTAAATTCACTTCAGTCACGAAGGTTTTTGTGTTATCCACCTTTTACACCAACCTTATAGCCTCTGTTACTTCTTTTACTGTAGTGCATCAAGCGTAAGTGTAGTCTGAATGGCCCTGATGGTGAAATTTCTCACTGGAGTACCATGGATCAAAGTTTTAGACCACTGAGAAGATATTGGTTCGTTCATTGTACCCAATACACCTTCCTGGTGAGTAGTAACAAGTGCGGAACCTGAGCCTGGAGTTTCTTAACAGTTGGCTTTAACACTGAACACAAAAGTATATCTGTTAGTTTCATGTAGACAATCGGCAGGAAACAGTGCTTCTCTTAGTCTTCGCACCTCCTGGTACTCGTCAGTAAGGTGTATCTGTCACCTCGATAGAAATGATATCCCATCTGAAATTCGAGCCCTCATCGCTCAGTGGTGCAGCTGAAAACCTTACCACTAGTCCACTCGGTTCAGCCCTCTCGAAGACACGCCTTGCTGGCCAGTGCTAAAATGTACGAAGCCCGGGTGGTGCTGGGCTTCAAGCCGACTGTCTCCGTCAAAAAATATCTAACTCAGTGCATCACAATGATAAGTCTCCTATCTTCCTAACCACAGTGTAAAATGATCTGTGGAACCTTATCAGCACTTAGAATTCGATAACATCAATTTGGGTGTCATCCAATCAACCTACAAAAGTATATCCCTTAAGACTTAAAAAACGGTTCTGGCTTTGTTATTTTCGAAGCCAACCTATTATCCATCATATGTAGTTGGATATATGATGACGGAGAAAAGTGGTATGATTTCGCTCTATAATCTATTCATCATAAGTAATCCCCTCCTTCTGCAGGGGAGGTATTTACCTAGCTCCTTTTCCCGAAGGGTTACTTTTGCTTAAAGTCATAATCAAGTCAAAATGCCGGAATCAATAATTTTGACATTTCTCTCTTACTGACCTCAGTCTCACTCTGATATAAAAGTTAGCCAATAAAATTATTGTGAATTTCGATCATTCATAAAGACGGTTGAAGTGAATTTAATGCGTCATAAATTCCATTTTTAACTTTCTTGTAAATGCCACTGACAATAAGTAAATGGGGAGGACTCTTGAAATTACAAGGCATTTCATATGATTAAGCTGTCAAAGTTTTCCTTTCTAAATTACTATCAAACATGAACCTTTGAAGAAATTATTTCTTTCAGAATATCGAATTCAAACTAACTGAAAATTTCGAGTTTGGTTTTGCTTACTTATAAGTAGTATAGTAATATCAAAATAATTTATCTAGGATAGCACACAACGATGCAGTACTCCTTTTCGAAAAACATTTATTCCTCATAATCAAGGTCATCATACAACTGTTAAACCATGTTTCAGTACACCAACAGCCATTCATTCTTCCGTTTTTAATGATAACAGAGTTTGCCAGATATCTGCAATATATGAAGGCATTTAGCGGTCAGCAGTTTCTAACTGGTTTGGAACTCTTCAGTATCAGTCATCCATAATCGTACACACAATAGAGCATAGAATGGTCAAGTGTCACAAAAATTATTTTACTTCGTCGGATATTTTGTCACTTGTGTCAATACCGAGCATCAAGTAGCCTCTTCCAGCGGTTCATTTATTTATTTCACCTTCAATCGTCACCCTTGTATGAAGAATAAAAGTCTGCCAAACTGTGACTTTCTCAGACAATCAGACTATTAATTATACTTACTAAGCAAAAAGTAAAAAAATATATATTGCTTGTTTGAACTCACCTCCGAACAGCTTTACCTTGTGGTAGAACAACACAATCTTCAATAGCACGCATAATTAATTCAAAGTCCATTGCTTGAATAGGTCGTAAATTTACTCGGATAGCTGGTGTAAATGTATCACCGTTACGGTAAATACTGAAAAGAAAATATTGTAATAAATAAACATGATATATAAATGTTGGGGAGAATGAATAATTCCTGTCACTATGATATCCAGTGGAGAATCGTTGAGAAACTGACATTACTAAAAAGCTATCTCGTCCTTGAAGCTCACATCGATTGAGTATATTAGTGCTCACATGACCATCTAGTCAGTTGACTGGAATTCAGTCGTCCACACTGCCCTTCTTTATGATGTCAGTTTTTGATCTAAAACAGCCATCGTTCAGCGTCATTAGTGAGTCTTTACACCAGACTTAAATGAACTAAGAAATCGTAGTTTCTCATTAAAACTTTAGGAAATCCGTCTTGATACGAGTAATAAATTAGTAGTAGACAGCTATTTAGCTGGCGGTTACATCGAGGTTGCAGATATGCCTTGCTGACGAGTGCCAACAAGCACGAAATCTAGGTCCAGGTCTTCCTGCCGATTTTCTCCAATCAACTAAGATCTACTAGTGTGCACCGCAAGGCTGAGCCTCCTAACTTCATGGCCATATTGCAAATATGACCGATAAGATTCGGTCTGCACTAAGGACTAGATAACATGGAATTGGTTAGACTTTTGTAACCAATTAATACAGGTAACCCAGTCCTGCAGGAGGTGAATGGCATCCCGAATAACTCAGTGGTAAAGTCGATGACTACAACACTGGGTGAGGCGGGTTCAAATCTCAGGCGGACATCAGTCCCGTTGAGGTTGCAGATACGCCTTGCTGACGGGCACCAAAAAGCAAGAAACCTAGGTCCAGGGCTTTCTGCGTTCGTCTCCAACCAATTTATAACTAGTGGTTTGTTGAAGACAAATTGACTGGTTGAATTCAAGGTACAATCCGTTGCAGATTGACATCAGTTGTAGAGTTATTGATTATCAGGAAATACTGGATAGCTATTAAGTCCTGATATGGAACTCCTCAGCATTGAACACTCATGAACCCATTCAGGGCTCGAATATAGAATCTTCATGTTCCACAGAAAGTAGGTCGCCATTGAACCACTGTAATCGATCTACCAACCTTTCGACTCTACTTTGCTGATCTACTTGAACTCCTGATATCATAGACACTGCCTGAACTTTTCTATGGTAACTTATGTCGAATTCCCTTGATTTTCTAGATCCAAGTTTACCGCAATAATGAGTCTTCTAGTTTGATGACTACATCGTAAAACGATAGATGGAATTCAGTTACCACCTTGGACTGGAGGGAATAACTTACTAATCAGTGTACATGATCAAGGAAATGAAAGGAGACACCAACAACTCATTGGTAACTTTCTTGGGTGTAATTTGAATGCTGAAGGCTCAGAATCCTAAATGGATGCTTGTCTCCTTAAAATATTAAACATATCAACAAGGTTTAATGATTAATATAAGTGAATGGTATGATTGTGAGCAATAATTTATGCTCGAAACGTAATCAAGTGAATAATACTGTATCACTGTGCACTATATATCAAATAAACAAATCTAATATGGAAGGTTTAATGATGGCTAACTCCAAGCATCTAATTATCAGGATGCTACCAAGCATGTTGAATTGAATTATGGTTTATTGTCTTCCGTATATCTAATGTTACAGTGCTATGTACAAACAACTGATTCTCATCAAAAAACAAGATTTTGGATTCCTTTAAAAACATCCAAAAGCCTCTTTTTTTGCAAATAGTAATAAATAGACTTGTATACGCTTCACTTCATCGACTTTGAAAAGGCCTTCGACAGCGTCGACTGAGAAGTAATTTGCCAGCTGCTTCAACACTAAAGTATAATGCCACAAACCTTTAGCTATATGCTATATGATGACGATGCTACATGCTAAGTGATTCACAATGGAAAGCTCAGTGATGCCTTCGAAGTGAAGACAGAAGTAATACAAGGCTGTCTACCACCTATCACCGATAAGCTTTCTGCTTGTTGTCAACTGGACTCCACTGGATCATGCAACAAACTATCAACAGCGAAAAACGAGCATACGCCGATTGACTGATGAAAAGACTCTAATAGAATTGCATTTCCACTATGATGTTTTACGTCTTGTGTCCTGTTGCACAAACTGGAAGATCTACAGGCAGCGAAGACGAGACTAACTGCTTGTAAACGTAGAGAAGACAGATGATGAAGATACCCAACAAGAACAACAACAAGCACCAGTCATTATGAAAGGGAGAAATCTAAACAAAGTTGACTCTTCCACCTACCTACCTACCACCCCACACCTACCTACCCACCCACCCACCCAGCTACCTACCTACCTAGGTAGCATCGTTTCAACTACAGACGGCGGCGACACAGGTGAGGATGTCAAAGCCAGCATTGGTAAGACAGTAAGACAAGCCTTACATGATTAATATGAAATCAGTGTAGAAATCTACTCCACTCCACTCAACATAAAGCGTGAACGTCATACACATTTTCAACACTAATGCAAGTCAAGTCAGTGCTTCCATGTGATAGTTGAGAGACTTGGAGGCACGTTACGAAAACCATTTCAAACAAAATACAAACATTCATCATCATCATCATCATCATCATCAGCTGCTGCTGCTGTTGCTGTTGCTGCTGCCTACCATCACTCGATAATACTGACAATAAAGATCAGACGGATGGTCAGAATAATGAGAATAAACAACAAGGATCTCACTCACTCTGGTTGGCGACGAACCAACCAACAATCTGTCACCCAACAAATATGCAGTAGGGGGGAGTGCAGATGGATTGGATTGGGAATACACTGAGAAGACCATTCGGGAACACCACGCATCAGGTCAGGCCGTCGAGTGGAAGCCGAATGGGGAGGACGAGTTGGGCGTCCCAGCTGAAGGTGACATGGATGAGATCATATGAGGAAGAAATGAGAGTTTATGAGCAGTTATGGAGCCAGTTTGAGAAGACTGGAGAGAAGAGAGTGGAATGGTGATGTTCTACTGAAACTTTATGTTTCCCTAGGAACCCAAATGATAAGTAATATTATAATAATAAACTTGTATACACACTTTAAAACGACCCGAAATTAGTTTATTATACTCTTGTGGTCAGATTATATCAAACTAAAACGTTTTTCCTTCTAACTTACTATACACTGAATAACCATTTACATAAAAGATTGGTAATCATCACTTAAAGTGAATTTCTACTTTTTTTCAACCTTTTAGTAGTCTAAATGTGTATATACCTTCACAAAAATGTTCGATTTTCAAATCTAAACGTGATCATTTCTATCTTGTAACCGATGTTCAAGATTACTTTCAATTAATCTCTCGTTCATTTAAAAGTTTTATTCATGATGGGAATAAATAGTCTGTAAGCATAGATAATTTAAAAAGTGATGAGGAAATGTATTGAAGATTTAGCTGTCATGTGTGAACTCACTACCTTGATATGGATTAGTTTGGAAGAAGACCTGTTATGGCTAAACTAAAACGAGACACTAGTTTATGAAATCCCTGACTACTGATCTGTGCCATATTGAGGAGGTGTAGACTACTTGGTCAGGGTCACTGAGATGATAGAAATCAGTTATTAATGTATTCACTCTTCGACATCATCTAAAGCTTGAATATTCACAATAAACTTTAGATTGTCGATTCTCTCCAACAACTTTATTTACTTTGATATGAGTCTTTTTTTTATCCACCTGTTTTACTGTGTACTACTACTATGAAGTTTGGCAAGTTAAAGCAATGAACTTCTATGCTGGGTTGTATGTTGATTTGATGTGTTATCTTTCTGCCTAACTCAATAAGTTAGCTATAAAGTGATTCATACAAGAGTATACTGTATCTTCTTTTATAAGAGTATATATTGGGTGAATATATATACTCGTCAGAATTCCAAAACTAAGAAAACATAACTACCTAATGTATTTAAGCTCCTAATACTGTTTCACTGATTAGTCATAAGTTAATGCAAGATTCGAAGTAACAATCTTCAGACTACTGACCTAGTATTCAATTGTCAACTTAAGTTAAGCCTAGATAAACTTTCTAGTCTCGTTACTTTATTTATGTAGCTCTTGGCATACATTCTTAAGATTGTTAGTTCAAATTCCGTCTAACTCATCATTCGTCTATCAATCAAAGTTATTTCACATTATTTAATGACTAACCATGGAATATTTTGATGCTTTGAGCGAGTTATTATGTGTAAAGAAAAGAAGTTTAGTAAAATCCTTATTCCTTACATTTTGCTCTTGTTATTCACGATTAGCAAGGCGTGTCTGCACCCTGGAAAAGGCTCTCACTTTTCAAGAGATTCAGAGCTGCACCACGTAGTCTTATATTCAAACATATCACCGTTTAGCCAACCGGCCCATCAATTCTTTCATGTCAGGCAATGTCAGTTACAACAGTCAATAGCACCAACCACTTTCATGCCAGTCAATATTTAGTACTAAGTAACTTCTAACGATTGATAACAATGATGAAATATAACACTAATTACTCATCTTTGATGTATTAATGTGCTCAACTTGATTCCAAAACTTCAGTTAGTGTTTACACGATTCATTTATAACGTTTGTGATTGTAGCACTGAAATATACAGGTGTACAGATGAGCTCTGTTGATGAGTCAGAAGAAGGACAAAACATTAGTTAAACCTTGGTTGACTAACTTCCTAACATCCAAAACGACCAATAGCATTTTACACATCCAATCTTCCATCAAAATTTACCCAACTATCACCATTAACATAACATAAACTGGAAAAAGTGGAATTTATTTATTTGTCCCTTGGGTTCCCAGTGGAACATAGGGCTTCACTAGCAAGTCACCACTCCACTCTCTTCTCTGCAATCTCTTGAACCTGGTTCCACGACTGTCCACAACCTCTCATTTCTTCCTCACATGATCTCATCCATATCACCTTCAGGTGGGACGCTCAACTCGTAATTCCCCACTCAACTTCCACTCGACGGCCTGACCTGGTGCGTGGTGTCCCCGAATGGTCTTCTCAGTGTATACCCAATCCAATTCATCTCTACTTCTTTCTGTATATTTGTTGGGTGATAGGTTCTTGGTTGGTTCGTTCCCAGAGTAAGTTCCTTGTTGCTTATTCTTTCTGGCCATCTGAGCTTCAGTGTCGAATCAGAGTAGGCAGCTGTTGATGAATTTCTGTAGTTTGTTGGAAATGCTTTTCGTGACACGCCAAGTCTCTGAATCATATAGAAGCCCTGACGACATTAGTGTTGAAGGAAAAAGTGGAAACTAGACCTTATTTTTCAAAATGCATTATGGAATAGATCTCAGAGCTGAAGAATATTTCCTCTTCCAGTTTAATCAACATTCACATACACTTTTTTTTAAAACTTACTATATAACCTTAACATGACGTTGAAATCCATCTGATATTCTACCGACTTGACCACGTAATCGAGTATGACGTTTTCGCCAGTACTAAAAAGGAAACAAAATTACAAAAGACACTTAGTTAACAACCATATACAATTATAAATTTGAATCCAACAGACCTAGCAACTTGCTTGATCATATCGATTATCTTCTATCACTCTAGGGTATCAAACTTGCACTACAAGGTAAATATGTCACCGAAAGACAACAGAAACAGACTTGGAAGTTGGCGAAGGTGAACCATTGAATCCCAATTCAGTAGTTGGATGGTAAAATGCTTTCCACGAGATTCGATAGTTTTGAGGTTGAACGCTGTATAAGATCATGGCTGCCTACTACTGGAAGAGGGGAGTATCGATTCACGATGGGGTAGCTGTTTAAGTGCTTTCAAATTCCCTAGATGGTGTCTACAATGCTGTTCCGAGTTAATCTTAAGCTTTCTGTCGAAATTCTATCCTACTGATACATGCTATAGTGTTTTTCTTTTTAAACTGAAGTTTTATGCACTACCTTCATACAGTGATGTTATTCTCACAAAAGTGAATATCTAAAACTTATCAGCTGGTCAACATTAAGGTAAGTTTAACTGTTGGACTAGAAAATTCTTTTTCCAAACCAACAGTCTATGTGAGCTTTAGTATCCAGAATGAATGAATAGTTATAAACTCATACTATTTGTCACTAGGAACTATAGAAATCCAACTGCCAATGTTTCTTCGTTGTCTACTGGCATAGATTTGAAATCAAAGTCTCAAAGAATAAAAGACCAAGACAGAACCATCAAATTCACTATGATTTTCAAAGAAATATTCTCACCTTCACACAAATCATAAAACTAATCAGTAGAAAAGAGTTATTCCAGTTTTGAGAAATATAATATTTAAAACTAGTTGGGAGAGGTTCCTATGAAACAAATGATTCCAGCTTTCAATCCCTTATTTCGTCAACTTTATGAATTCAAAGTAAACTTTCAACAACAAAAAAATCTTTGAAATATTCCTTTTATTGTCTGGATTGTATTAAGTGAACCCTTATGATCATGAATGCGGACAATCGAGTAAGTTCTTCTGTAAAGAATAGTTTATTTATCTGCACCCACCTTCAATAAACTATAATTAAATTTCAAGTTGTTATTCATCGAAGACTGACATCAGTTGGAGGAACAAAGGAAACCTGGGAGCACTGGACAGCCGTTTCGTCCTAGTATGGGACCCAGTGGCTCAATGGTAACGCGCTGGTAGCGGGTTCGATCCCTGCTGGTGGGGTCGTGGGTGAGCACTGCTGAGGAGTTCCATACTAGGACGGAACAGCTGTCCAGTGCTCCCAGGTTTCCTTGTTCCTCCAACTGATGTCAGTCTTCGATGAATAACAACTTGAAATATTTCCAAATCTCCACAACCCCCTCAAAATATAATTAAATTAGCTGATATCTAGATTGGTCATTAATCTTACACACCGTATCTTACATATACCAAGCTAGCTTCACAACAGTAAGTATATAGATGTATACATATGAAAGTGGTTAACAGTGTCAATTCACTGGGTGATAACTGGAAGCTAAATAAATATTTGAGCTGTAACAAGATCCAAACCACTGCCCTTCGGATTATTTTCCTGGTGCTAAACAAAAAAACTGAGGTGAAACCAGGCTACCGACTAAATCTTAATTTCACAACTCTACAGTGCTATGACTTCAAAGCCATCAAGATAATAATCAGAAATTGTATTGAGAGAAGTAATGAGGCTTGCATAATACAATTTAGGGATTCGTGGGGAATTTATTGATTCATAGTTGGTATTCATCATGGACCGACATCAATCGGAAAGTTACTGAAAATCTTGGAACACTAGACATATATTTCGTCTTAGTGTGAGAATCCTCAGGGGTGTAGATCCGTGACACCAACGGAGATTGAACCCATGACCTTCAGGTTTCGTGGCGAACATGTCACCATTGAGTCAAAGGGTCGGAATTTAATTCTCGAAATTTTCCCACTTCTTTCAGTTCATTCAATGACATTGTTGAGTAAGTGACCTCAAGTACAACTTGGTTTACTCCACCGATCACAACTTTGCACTAGAACTCCAGGAAATCTTATCTGAAAGCAAGTTACCGGTTACCGCCAGACAGTAACCCATAATAGCATTCTGGTGGCGGCAAGTAAATTGAAAATTTAAAGTACCTCATGAATTTGCTCCTCTTTTTAATATTTTCTCTGTGCTCCGAAACTTCTTTGGCAAGCGGGTTGGTTTCATGCGGAAGGGTTGCTAGCCCCAGTCCCAACCTTCCCTCTTCATCCAAATTTAGGACCGGCTAGTAAACTAGTGAACCAGTAAACTAGGTACAAATCCGAAGATCTACAGGTAAAAGCTAACAAGTTGACAGAAGAAGTGAGGCAGCGAAGACGGGACTGAATCCAGGTGAACCTAGAGAAGACACAGGTGATGAAACTACCTAACCAACTACTACAACAACAACAAGCACCAATCATAATGAACGGGAGAAATCTAAACAAAGTTGACTCTTCTGCCTACCTACCCACCTACCTACCTAACTACTTACCTACCACCCCACATCTACCTACCTACCCAGGTAGCATCGTTTCAACTACAGACTGCGGCGACATAGATGTAGATGTCAAAGCCATGATCAGAAAGACAGTAAGACAAGCCCTACATCATTAATCTGAAAACAGTGTAGAAATCTACTTCACTCCACTCAGCGTAAAGCGTGAACAACAGATACCACCTACGCTCACTGAATACTGACAATGAAGATCAGATAGATGGTCAGAATAGTAAGAATAAGCAACAAGGAAGCCACTCTAGCTGGCAATCAACCAACCAACAACCTATCGTCCAACAAAGATGCAGACGAAGAAAATGGAGATGGATCGGGCATATAGTGAGAAGACAGTTTGGGGACATCATGCCCCAGTCAAAACCCTCGAGTGGAAGGTGAATGGGGAAGGACGAGTTGGGCATCCCAGCTGAGAGTGATATGGAGGAGATCATATGAGGAAGAAATGAAAGTTTATGGGCAGTTGTGGAGCTAGTTTGAGAAGACTGGAGAGAAGAGAGTAGAGTGATGACGTTCTACTGAAACTTCATGTTTCACTAGGACCCTAAAGGACAAATGATAATAAAATATACATGAATTTTCTAATTTGAGAAGTGACAACAATCATGATAATATGGATGAAAGTGCCATCTTAATTCAGTAGGCTGGTGGATAAAAATCATTCCGGCATTTGAATAGATAGGTGCTACGTCTCATTCTCATTGGAACAACTATTATTCACTCGAATGCATATACATTGAGGTAATGAATCCGTAATGCGTCACAACGTGCATTCGTGGTTTGATTACCAACCTATCTTCTTCTCTGTCAACAGAATAAAATCACAGGTGATATCAAGGTGTATACACAGTAGCCCATATGCTAACAGAAGTTGATCAATTCAGTTGAAACGGACCAATAGCAAGAAGTAACAAGTTAGAATGTGTTTCACCTTATAGATATCCAAATCAATTTGGAATTTGATAGTTTGAAAACATTTGTTCATTGGATGGTTGATATTCATCACTTTTTGTATTTTTATTTCCCAATGAGAATGTAAACTAAAATAACTATTTCAACTAACGTATCACCACTGAATGCTGCCAGTAGCTTTATCAAAGTTATAATAAACAGGAATTTACAATATCCCACAAGTTTATATATGATAAACTTGATAAGTGTTCTTCTCCATGAATGGTTCTACCTTATCAGAATTGTAGAATAAAGACGACTTTCAGATGTATTGTGTTGTATGTGTGAAGAGTGTATGAATTACAGACTTGAGATTTATATGTACTACATGTGTTGATAGTTCTCATTGTAGGAATAATGCTTCCACTGAGATTAATTGTGGGCTTCATCAAAACACCAGCATACAACCTCTCCAAATATCTTGCTTCAATACTTAAACCTATGCAAAAGTACTCAGAATACACAATAAAGGACTCAATTGATAACTTTAAATCCAAAATATCTTCACTTAAAATTGAGAAAGATGAAATTATGGCAGGCTGTAACATTAATTCTTTATATACTCATATTGCAATTATTGATAGTCTAGATATTATTTCTAATTTATTAGACTCAGACACATCACTGACAGAAAGATGTCCACTGAACACCAGTGACTATCATCAAGGCTCTAAAATTTTGTGTAGAGACTATTTACTACACATTTAAGAGAAACCTATAAAGGAAAACTAACGGTGTTGCTATGAATTCATCTGTTTTACCTCTAGTAGCTAACCTATTTATGAGTAAATTCGAAGAAAGTGTCTTCGCTCACTAACTAAAGTCAAAAATTTGGCTGAAGTATGTTGATGACAAATTTGTAATTTCGAAATGTGACTTATACCAGGCATCTTAGACCAGCTAAACTCTAGATCTCCCAGTATGAAATTCAGCTGAGAAAAAGAAACGGATCAGGAAGAACTGCCTTTCCTTGATTGTCTTGTAAAGCGGAAAGAAAATGGAGATTTAGGTGTAATCATTCTCAAGAAAGAAACGCATTCGAAGAAATATTCAGATTTCAACTTATTACATTCAATTAGTATGAAAGTTTTTGTTACCTCTGGTCTTTTGAAGAGAGAACATACTCTAACAAAGGATGAAAATGGAAGAGTTAAGGAATTAAACTATGTGAGCAAGATACTTAAAATGAATAATAATCTGGTAAAATTCATTGGTAAAATAGAAAATAACAGTTAAATTAGATCTTGAAACTACTCCTCAATCATAGGCGTCAGCAACAATTATTCTTTATAGATTACACATGTTGGATGAAATCAAGAGAGTGCTCAACAAATACAATATCCGAGTGTTCTAAACAACACTAAACACATAGTAGAACACCTTAGTTCATTTGAAGGACGAGATGCCCCCTAAATTCATAATCTAATTATGTTTACGGAATAAAATGCTCAGACTATGATACAATATACATGAGACAAACTTCCCATGAAATAAAAATTAAGGAAAATAAACA